CAGGTGGATTTTCACTGGGGACACATGAGCACACCCCTGGGTGTGGGACAGTGCTCTGCCAGATTTAAAACTATTGCTCTGTACGTGGAAGGTGTCCCCGCTTGTCAGTGAAAAGGATATAAAAATGTACTTTAACAAGCAAAAATGACTGCTTTAGCTTACTGATTTAAGCTAAAATTCCCTTTCCTCTATTCCTCAAACCAATAGCATGAGTGAGCCTGGAGCTGAAACTGGAGATGGTAAATTCTACATAACGGAGAAGATGTCAGGGACTGGACAAAGCATCTTACAGTGGAAAATGAACAATGCTACCAACTACCTGCCTGGGACACAGTTCAGATAATCTAAATTATATCTGGAGCAGGATTATTTATTGAAATCTATTGCTAACTTCATTCTCCCCCAAGAAAGTATTTATTTACAGAAATCCAACCCATTTGTTGCTTTGACAGATAGGACCTCTCTCATTTGTAAGACCTGAGCAAGACGTGTTGTCACATGGTAGATTATCAGTATCTTGATACAGTTATGAAGAAGAAAATGAGCTGCAGTTTGAGCAGTGTGCCCTAATCTGCCTGTACCCACTAGTGTGTCTGTCATACGGATGAGGCTTCCTCATTCTGAAATTGCAGAATTAGAATGTTGGTCTCTAAGCATTTGTAAGAACATTTTTGAAGGGAATTTCTGAAAATCTGGGTTATTTTGAGGACAGCTGCCATCCATAAACATGTGTTCAAAATTCTGAGGGTAAACAGTCTTGTAAGATAAACAGGTTTTTTGGTTTAGAATCGAGCAGATAAGTGAGTGAGTTTTCACTATATGGGCTCATGCCTTTAGAAGTGTCTTGGTATTACCTGCAGCGCCAGCAAGTGAGGGACTCGGCGCTGCTCAGAGCCAAACACCAAGTGGTGTGAACTGTCGTTGTACGGGGATTCCCTCTTCATGGACCTTGTTTCAAACCTATTGCAGGCTTGGCTTCTGTTTCCAAAGGTGTTGAACTGTGCCAGAATGAATCATGTTTGTACAGTGAGTAGACATCAGCTCAATACAGGGACTATAATTTTCCTATTGGGCTAAGTGCAGGGAATAAAAAGCTAATTGATTACTTTAATTTTTTATTCACTACATCCAGGCATATGTTTCAGCTTTTGCTGTTTCTTTGCCTGCTTTGCATTAACTGGGCCAACCATTTAAAACCCAGTCAGATTCCAAAACTGAATTAGACCAAAACCCCCCCCCCCCCCCCCCCGAGTTTGGGCTGTGTTTCACCTTAGTTGGTATTCATATAATCATTCTACAGCAGTACAGTTATATTAAGGGGAGAATCTAGCCCTAATTTAAAAATAAATTGTAAAATAATCTATTTTAAACTGTGTCCTCCTAGATTTAGTAAGCTAATTTTATTTCTTGTTCGCATTTTTTAAAGGCTAGTATCTCATTTAAGCATTTCAAACTGAATTTGGAAATATTCCAGAATATTGATTATTGACTATGAGCTACGCCCTTGCTTTAGTGAATTTGCAGAAAGCTTCTTTAAAGCGTGGATTAATTGAAGATCACCATCAGCGAAATATGGCCCTGAGTCCTTAGGCTAAGAAAAGCAACCACTTGATTTTTTTCAGCTGTGCCTTCTGCAGGATGGTTATGAATGTCCCACTGACTTTGCACACCTAGAATACAGGGCTGGTCGCTAGCTATAGAAGAGACACATGCAGGCTTATGCTGAGGAGAACAAAATGAGCATAGACCTTAAGACCACAGATTCTGGTGCTCGTGTGATCGAAGAGTCTGTTTTCATATTAATGTATCTGTGCAGTGGTGGAAAAACACTGGAAGAGCACTTTTGACCCCCTCTTGTTAGGATAAGTCACTTGGTAAATGTCGTCCCTTCCTTGGAAGCCCCTTTATTTATCTGCTAAGTTTTCAAACTTGTGTGTTTGCTTCATCTTTGTCTGACTTGTGCTGCTGCACTAAATACTGGGTAGCTCTGCTGACCCAGAGCACAGCAATTCACTAATCCTTCCTCGAGGGGAAAACGGCCGTTTGGGAGTGAAGCAGCACTTCCAGCGCGTCCTCGTCTATCTAACAGCACAGAATTGGTAACAGGACGTCATGCACGGCTATACTGGTGGATATGCAGAGCCTGCTGTAATTAGCCCTCACTTCAACATGCCACGAAGGCTTCGGGATGGGGGTAGGGATGCAGGGAGGGAGCAAATGCTTTTGCTGTATTGAGCAAGCTCTCTGTGGAGGGATGAATCTCACCTGCCGTGCTACCGTATGCAGACAACTGTAATTATGCTTAGGCACCCAGCATCATCCTTTACAGAGTTATATTCATTTTTTCTGGTGGCAATTAATCTCTAGTCATATTTTCAAAGGAGAAAAAGTGAGTAAGTTAGCACGTTTGCCAGGGAACGTTAGCACGTGACCTGAAATATGGCAGCTCCCTTTAATGTAGCATCTCCCAAGAGAGCACTAGCTATTTCAGACTCATCTCTCATGGTATTGACATCCAACATGCACTCTAAAGGGAGCATTTGTACCTCCCTGACATCACCACTCTCAGGTTGCTTTTCTTATTGATGGTATAGTTAAAGTCTCTGTATCATTTTGACGTTTTTAATGGCATATGCATTTACAGTGTAGCTCTTGTTTAAGCTTTAATCAGCTTTCTGTTCACATGTTGTTCCTATTATTATTTATCTCTATTATGGTAACACATAGAGGCTATCAACAAGAGCAGGATTAAACTGTGCTAGGCTTGGCTTGTATTTTAAAATGGCCTCTCTGTGCCCCTAGGAGAAGTGGTGCTGACGATCCTGAAGTGCAGCGGGTTTCGTGGCTCTGAGGCTGCTTTGCCCTGTATCTCAGAAACTGGAATCACTGTCACACACCAGCTAGGATTTGCCACACTGATGTATATAGAAAAAATATGTCTTGCTTGCTGAAGTCTTGGGTTTCTTCTGTTTTTTAATTGTTTAACTGGAACTAGTAGATCCTGATCCCATAGCTAATTATGCGCTTGAGTAGTCTTACACGAGTGGTCTGATTGAGCTCAGTGGAATTACTTGTATGAATAAGTACTTGGATTTAGCTTATCAACTCTGTATCTGCCTACGTTTGTAAAGGTACAGAAGATACCACAGTGCAGATCTATGAGTTATCACAATATAAATATCACATAACGTCCCGATGAAATCACATAGGTAAAGAATTTACTTGCAACTCCACGGTCTGACACTGCTATATGGGACTTAAAGGAAAGGGGAAAAGAAAACCAACAGGAATTGATAAACTTTGAGCAACAAAGATCTTATTTTCATGTGAGATTACTGCAGTGTAAAATCAGGTGAGGACATCACAAATTTTACACTAACACATTGCCAACGGATTTCACTCAATTCCCTTTGCAATTAATCAGCAGTGGATGAATTGATACTGCATTCAATGGCTCTGCTCATTGTGACATATATAGGGCTTGAACTGATAGCTAAAAGCAGAAAGTCTTTACCATCTGAAGTAAAGACTTAAATCTAGAAGAGACCAACTTGTCATTGTGTCTATATGATCCTGTCACTAGAGAGACAACAGGATGTTCGCCATGGTTATACACACATACTACGTTCACCGTGGTTATACACACACACACTATTACTTGGGTTTCAAACCATTTAGAAAACTGTAGTCAAAACCTGCTTGTAGTTTTAGGAACATGAAAAGGAGCCTAACAAGTGCAAAGGCTGTAGCAGCCATTGTAAGTGAGACCCAGTACAAGCCGCATCTTTTCATGAGTCTATTTTTTTCCATGTCTTCCGTGAGCATTCAGATGTACTTTAATCCTCATTTTTATGTCCTCTCACTAATAAATCCCCATGAAATTCACATTCTTAGGAGCTATCTGGTATGCCAAGCTGTTTTATTTCATGGATAATTAAAACATTTTGGCTAGCTACGTTGGGCTAAACATACTGAATGTTACAATGTGTGCTCACTGATGCCTTGTACTTAGAAAGAAGCCTTTGGAAAAATCTAACTGCCAGCTGGTTTTCTGGTCACTGCAGGCTTCTTTTATTATCCAGGTTTGGATTTTTATGATTTTACAAACAATTAGAGTAATTTCTGCTCTTTACCTCAGCATTTTGCTCTTCCCTTTGGCTAGATTATGGAGTGAAATTTGGTACAGGAAGAAAGCAAGCATGTGACCAAATATAAATAGTAAATAAGTGTTCAAATAACATTGATTTACATAAAAGGAGTTGTGTTTGGGGCAGACACTGTATATGTGAAATAAGATGCTTAAGCTGATGATAGGAAATGGTTTTCCCTTCCTATAAAAGGTTTGCTTTCTCCTTCACTTTATTTCAAAGTGAAAAACACAAACCGAGCAGACAAATCTGATGGAGCACTCACCTGAGACATGGAAGACCAAGGATATAAGTCACATCTTCTAATGAGTGTTATTTATTCATATTAAGCAAATTAATTGCAGCTGAAATTATATCAGCCCAGAGCAACGCACAGCCTGGCAGTCAGGGCTGTAATGTGAGGTGTGGTGAGGTCGGAATCGAGTCCCTCAAGCAGGGAGGGTGAAGTTTGATCCCTGCATTCCACTTCCCCACGCAAAGGGCTATCGGCTACGCTCGCGTGGTTCAGATTTGTACCCTTTGTGCAGGTGCAGAACTGCATCCCTTGATGTTCAAGTTCTGCGGAAAACAAATCAGTGTTTCTGGAATGGAAATTGCTGGGAAACTCCATCAGCTCCAGCAGATTTGCTCCCTGCCCCAGAAGGCTTACAGAGTCCTGGCGAATGTCTGTGTGAAATAAAGATAGATCATCTCTTTCCACAGATTCTCAGTAATAATTTAAGACTTATAAAGAGTAAGATTTTGTTTGCTTGGCTCCCAGCGGTGTTAGTGAGGAGCTATCATCCCTGTTTACAGCTGTGGGAAAAATGAGGCAAAGCAATAAAGTATCGTGTGTGAGGCACAAGCGGGACGATGCACAGGGGTACGTCGCACGCCCTGCTTTCTGCAGGACACGAAACCATCTCTCTCCGCACGTGCATCCTGTAAGACCCTGCGGATCCTTCTGGAGACCCTGGAATTGTCTTCTCCTGGGTTTATTTTGGCCTTTAACACTGTTGCTCAAGAAACACAAGTTTCTAAATTGGTCATCAGCGATGCTAGTTGAGTAAAGTCTCTTTCTCTTCTTTTTCTGCTCAATATCCTTAGACTGACCAATGAGTATCCCGCTTCTCAAGGAGAAGGACAAAAAGATTGCCAAAATTAACTGATAGATATAGTTGTCTGCTGTGAGTTTGTAGCCATGTGCTGCAGAAGGGGAGGGCGATGAAATTTCTAGGACAAGAGCTTCAGGCTTAAGTGGGCTTTACATTTACCTTGCTAAGTCTGGAAACAGATCCAGGCCTGAGAAGCAGCGAGTGTCACCTGAGGATTAGTTTACGTGTTTGCAAATAAAGGGGTTTGTGAAGACAGCTCCGTGGCTGGGATTACGCATTCGTTTCCTGCATGGCAGTGGATTTTACGCTAGCAGAAGGGTTGTTGGTAGAACTGAAACCAGCTCTCTGAGCACAACCAACTGTACCTGGAAAATGATCTTGCAGCTGTGTCTTCACCAGGGATTTTGCCAGCAGCTCTATTCTGAATAGAATGATGATTTTCTTCACCTTTGACATAGCTATATTGAAAGGCTACCTACTAAGCGGAAGGTAGGACTACTGAAGAAATCCTTGTTTTTCTGCTGACCATTTACCGAGGAAACCTTAACCCCTGGGTGACTGCTCGGAGCTGTTTAGTGTGCGTACGTCTTCACCGGGTGTTTTGCAGGTGCTGATTGCTGTTTCTATAGCACATCAGGATCAAGCTGTTTCTGTAATGCTGACTTCCCTCTCTCATCCTGCACATGGTCCACAAACAAGGAGGAGGGATCAGGCAGGATTGTCATGTGAAGGGTTCTCACTGCGCTTTAATGCTTTCTGTAGGGAACTTCCCCTCCGTGCCAACGGCCATAGGGTGTGGGGCCCTTCTGTAATGCTAGTACTCGCTGTTAGTAGCACAGAAATCGCCTGACATACACACTCTATACCTTCATCCCTAAGCCTGGCTTAAGCAGCCTCATGAAATCCTACCTCCAGTGTTATTTTCTTCCCTACCATCTCTTTAATCCAGAAAAACAAACAAACAAACAACAAAAAAAAGCAACACCAAAGGAGAAAGCCTTCTTTAGATTATCGTATTTATTATCTTATGGGAGCAGTGCAAAGAAACATTATTTAATTACATTATTAAACCTACAGGGTTTGCTTGGCAATACTACCTGCCATTAACTGCACTGCAGTCAGGATGTGATCCTCTGCATCTAATTCCACTATAAATTCATTCCTTCCAGCTATCTAAGAGCACTAAGAAACAGGATATTAAAAGATTTAGGTCCTGATCCAATAAGGGTGTGAAACAAGTCCTCAAATTTAGGCATATAACTCGCGGTGTTGTCTCCTTGCATGCTAAAGCACATTGCTGGATCGGGGGGTAGTTTTAGAAAGCCTGAGGGCCCTTTAGAATGCTCCTGGTACGAACAGTGCCGCTGCCTGCTCGCCAGCCTAAGCATAAGAGGCTGAGATGAGAGGCTTGCGACACGCTTTCCTAATCATCCTGATATGTTTTGGTATGTTTTCCAGGTTGCGATAGCGAGCACTGGGGACCCCACTGCAGCAACCGCTGCCAGTGTCAGAATGCGGCGCTCTGCAACCCCATCACGGGGGCCTGCGTCTGCGCGGACGGCTACCGCGGATGGCGCTGCGAAGAGCTCTGCGACCCCGGCAGCTACGGCAAAGGCTGCCAGTTTAAATGCCAGTGTCACAACGGAGCTACCTGCGACCATAAAACGGGAGAATGTCACTGTGCTCCCGGATACACGGGGGTGTTGTAAGTTCAATGATAGGTGTATTTTACTCCGCATCACTTAACAGCCTTGCTTTGACCGCTTTTAATGCAATGAGTAATTGGCAAAATTTACACAATCTCTGTATGATACGCTTTCCTTTGTAGAAATCAGGTAACGAAATTTCAGAGAGACTAAATAAAGGAAAACTCCTTTACTGCTAATGACACCTGTCTGCATGATAAAACAAAATAAAATTTACTGCTAAAGTGGACTTAAAAATCCATTGTATTTTCCAGCTTGTACAACAACTGTACGTGTTCCTAATTTCAGGATGTTAATACAATCCAAATTACAGTTGAGTTTTTATAAGCAATTGGACATTCAACTCATTAGCAGTCCAGCGCAGTATCAAATGGGACTTACCATTCCCAATTTATTTGACTTTCAATCTAACCGAGGAGGCATTACTGTTAACTATATCAGCTTACTATCTAGGGGGTAAATTTTTAGCATAGTGAGCAGGGATTTAGCGGTGTGACTCCTATTAACTTTAACGAGAATCATGTAGCTAAATCCCCATCCACCACACTGAAAGTTTACCAGTAGGATTCACAAAATCTGCATATTAATTTTAGGACAGCAAGCAATAGTTCCTTGTTTAAAATTGCCCACAGTGTAACATCAGTTCTCATTAGGGATCTTTCAGTAGTTTCAGAAGTAATTATGGTTTTCAAAATTATTTAAGGGGGAAAGAGGATTTAGTCACTGAATTTGGTTGGAGATCTATTACAGGTGACTTAATACTTTTGCTGTCTAATATTATTTGTTGACCTGCATGAAGGGGAAGGTAAAAAATAAAGACAATATTAACCCTCATAAATAAGTGATATGCCTTTTGAATATTTTATTTAGTACCTCATTTCCTCATAGACTTGTGACCTCAGTCCTGGAAGCACTCACTGTTAAAGACTCTGCTTACTATCAGGAGTGGTCCCATTGACATTAGTATGTCATTTCTCAGCAGTAAGTACTTGCAGGGCTAACCACCGATACGTTGTATGAACATCCTCATCAGAGGATAGTCAGTTAGGGGAAGAACCTACTGTAGTTTCAGAACCTGGGATTAGAGAAAGAAGCGATGCTGAAAAGCACCAATGTACTTTTCATTTGTAGGAGTCGCTGGTTTTTGCAGGGACCAGCCTTACACCGGCCCCCCATGAGTACTGAGAGAGACCCAGCGAGCTTAAGTAGCCTTTAAACGATGCTGAGTTCTTGCCAGTCCATTATACACTGCAAATGTTAACATTTAGTAGTGACTGGAGAAATTTCAAACATTTTGATCCCATCCTTTTATTCTGTTTGCAGCTTCTTTTATTGCCATGTCACATAATTCACATGGAGGGCTTCATCCTGCAACTCTTACTTTCCTGGGTTATTTTAATGGATATGAGTTGTCCAGCTGAGATGGGTGGAATTTGGTACGTGCATAAAGATTACACACGTGCACCAGCCTTACAGGACTGGATCCATGGCACATAAATAACCCCAGCAGAAATAAAAGAAATCTTGGCTAATTGGTAATGCCAGCTGAGGCTTACTGAGGTTTCGCAATTTGCATAAGGACTCCCATGATGACCTGTATTGTGGATTTTCCTCATTTACTGTTTCCTGTAAGTTCTTTTAAATGATCTCTTTGTTTTTTGTTTCTTCTCTCTCCACAAAGGTGTGAAGAGCGCTGTCCCCCAGGCAGTCACGGAGCTCAGTGTGAATTGCGCTGCCCTTGCCAGAATGGGGGAGTCTGCCACCACATCACTGGAGAGTGCTCCTGTCCTCCTGGATGGATGGTGTGTAGTTTGGTCATACTCGTCCCTCATTTAGAGGTTGGAATAGGAAGTTAGTTGCTCGCTGTCTCAGCAGGTGCCTTCCCTGTGTGCTTGTGATGCTATTTCTTGTCACGAGGCTCTAACAATTCTGAAACAGGGACCACGATTTGTTATGTGTGCACAGCACTTACACAGACAGGCCACCAGTCTACAACTGGTAGGTACCACCATGAGTTAAACAAACAGTAAACCAAGCAGTGACTACTCATTACACTTCTGTGTGGGAGAAGAGACAATTTTTTTGTCTCTGAATTACAGTTCCTTGGAATATGCCCTGCACCCTCAGACACTGCCCTCACAGGGGAGAGAAAGCTCAAAGTTCAGCTCAGCATTGTCAAAAGCACTGTCCTGTTTCCCCCTCAGGAGAGAGGGGAGGGAGAAGCCAGGGGGAATCCAGTGATTCAGGCAGTCGTTAAAGCAGGACTATACACAGGACACAGAGGCCAGTTCAGTGTCCTGTCCTTACTCAGGCATAATTCCCGTTGATTGCAATAGATGTGCTTGCAGCAGGCGTTGCACTGGAGAGAGCAAATTGCCCTAACCTTTAGTCCTTTGTGTCAAGAAAGCAAGGCCAAACAGTTTAAAAGTCCTCAACTTTATCAATAATGTAATAATTAACTCTCTTGGGGTTTGCCAAGTCTCATCGGCCTACATACCATTTAGCTATACTAAATTTCCTGGCATTTTCCTGTATCTGACAATTAGTCTCTTGGCAATCTTGCTGAATTTTAATGCATACAAGTACTGTGACTTTTTATTTTAGTATGTGGAAGACCCTGAAGATCATCATGCAACTATGGCTTCTGATGTGGACCTTACACCTGTTAAAACATTTAAGGGCTGAGAGAGATGTTTATGTTCCTTTAGATTAGTACAGCAAATGCTGCCTCCATTTGACCACAAAGCTGCTTTTAGTTGAAAAGTGCCAACCGTGGGATTCTGGTGGCTCTCAGGCAGCAACATAGGAGAAGAACATTGCTGCCCATATTTTTGGTGGAATCTGTGTACAGAAAACCTCTCTCTAACTGGAGAGTTAGAGTCTTTCTAACTTGGCCAGTCATGGCAAAGGTGGTGATGATGTAATTCCATTTCAAATGACAAAAACAGGCAAAACTTTTCAGAAACTTAAGTAAGAATATGGCACCTCACCCTCAACTGGCATTCAATGGAGACAAAGAAAAGGTACTTTCCTAAAGTGTACTGGAGCTAAAGCATAAAGGAAGCAATTCAAATATTTTTGAGGGCCTATCAGTTGACTCTGGCACTACCCCTAAGAAGTGATCAATAAAGTGATTACCATAAAAATATTACTTTTAGGGTATTTTTTTCACCTCCCCTTACCTTCTGCATGCCAATATTTCTGAGGATATGAGTTGTTTTGCTGTGCTCTTCCTTACCTGTATTTTATCAGGAGGGTTTTTTTGCAAAGTTAAAAAAATCGCTAAAGAGATCTAGAAATATCAGAATAGAGCAGGAGGTTTTTAGAGGTCTTTTAGGATGCAGCATAGACCCTAAAGAAGAACCACAGCACTGGGGCCGCACAGCATCTATGGCCATGTATTCTGGCCCACTTCTGCCCTGTTCCTTACAGCTTGGAGTTTCTTCTCTGCATTTTTAGTGGCCCAGAGAGACTTTCCTGAAAACTGTGTTGTCGGCTGCTCTGTCCCCAGAGAAACCCTAGAGTTAACAACTGATGTCTGAAACAAGCATAACTGAAAATTGAAGAGAGAGATCAAGTATTCTGGGGAAAGAAACTGAAATTATAAGTAAAAGCACTCAGCTTGTAAATGTTGAGATTTTAAGTATAAAGGGTCTCTCCAGGGTTTTAATGAAAAGCTGGTAATTCAGTACACAGAGAGAGAAAAAAATATTTTTTCATGCTATATTTTTAACTCTTGGTGGTTGGAACAGTTTGGGAAGTGAGACATGAGTGGGCTGTAAACGAGCAAGCGAGATGGGATTGCTAGACAGCATTCATTTTATTTCACACCATGGATAGTCTTTCTTTGACATCAGGAATTGTACTTGCTGATTTTGAGGCTTGAGACTGCACGTATCTATTGAATATATCATCATGTTGGAAGGAGAGAATTCTCCCTGGATTTATACAAGTGCAAATCCACTTGGATTTTATTGCTGCTGGATGAGCTGAGACTTTTATCCTTTCCTAGGGCAGGCTTATTAACAGCAACTCAGCTCCCTTAGGGGCTTGGTTGCCTGTGGGACATGCAAGGGGAAGCAATAAGTTGAATAGGAGGAAATTCTAGGGTTCTTAGGTTCTTCCTTGGATCTGCCGTCTTCAAAGCCTGGTTCTTTTATTACTTGTAATATTTCTTTCCTCCTGCTTCCTCCCACCCAGTGCAGACTCGCCCAGAAGCGCAACAAGTTATACAAACTGTATCCTGTGAGATTTTACTGTCCCATGGGTTTTTCACCAAGAAGATGATGGCTAACAGCATATATTGTTGAACTAGTCAACAAAATGTAGCTTCCAGCATACTACGATGTTGGGCTTTTTCCACTTCTGTGTCTTTGCGGCTGTGGGAGTTAGTGGGTGGCTGCTTTAGGGCCTCATTAACAATTTACAGGTTTAATTCTATACATCTTTCTCATTTGCAGTATTAAATACTCCAAGCACTCTCAGGAAGTGGGGAGAGAAGTTAAATTTAGCATTTACAATGCTTCTCAGCAACACTTTTGAAGGGCTAGATCTCCGTGCTCAGGAAAGCAGCAATCTTTCCTTACATGACAGAACGTTTGTCACTGGCAACACACCCTGTTTGGTCCCAGATCCTGTTCTCAAGGCTCTGCATCATGGTACCGTGTTAATACAGCACATTCTGCTAATCACTTCTTTCTCATTGCCTCTGGGCTTTATGAGGCAACTTCCATTTGTATTTTTGTCTATTTTTCGTTCTGTGTGGATTTTAAACACGGGGGGTGTGAGAAAACGGAGCGGAGAAAGATCTTTTCTGTACTACAGAATGGTAGTACTATAGCAAACAATGTCAAAAGCAGCAACTGATGAGATCGGGGCCTGAAAAAAGGTGCTGATGGGGTGAACTTTACTGATTAGATGTCTAAGCAGCAGAAAACGTTGGTCTGACATTTGATCCTCCAGAGAGGGATGTTTTGGATTCCCTTAGTACATATTAATGCAAAAAGTATGCCTAAAGATTCTCTTGGCTCTGGGGGGATGCATCAGAGTATTGCTTTCTCATCATTTGTTGATAGAAATCCTGTTCCTTTTGAGACGTGGAGAAAGTATTTATTATCAAGATAAATGGATACTTACATTTTCTGATATATAGTGTTGTGTATTACTCATGTCCAGAGACACCAGTTTTTTAATGCTGTAATCCAAATGTTCTTGAACCGAGGCCAACCTGTCTATTTTACGGCCAAGGAGCCACCTATCACTGGTTAGGAAAGGCTTGAAGTATCTGTTTTACGATTACATGGAAGAGCAGCCTCTCCACTTTGGGGTTGTTGATATTGCTAAACTTCCCAAACCGTTGAGCGAGAACCCCAGGGAGTGAAAGCAGCCATTATGTTCCTGGTTTATGTTTTGTGTAAGTTTTGTCTAATCTGTGCCTTGTTCAAAACTCAGAGCCCCTGGGGCTTGGTTAGAGGAATAAGGCTTCTGAGAGATTAAAACAAAATAATAACAGGGACAGAGAAACGGCGTTTCTGTCAAACACGGCGCACTGTGCGTGGCGCTGGCAGCAGCACCACTTGCTAGAGTTGCCAAACATATTCCATTACGGGACCCCATCTTCAGATCACAGCACTGCCAGACTTATTTTGGCTGAAGTTACTCAGCTGGATGCCAGCCTCAGATTTTATGTTTGCTCACAGAAAAAAAACATTCATACAACTTCTAAGAAAGTCTCAGGAAATCCTTGTAAGGCCTTGATACTTGGCAGGTGACATTATGTGATACTTGGGGGGAAAACCCCCTGCGTTTGGCAGATAAATTCTCCAAAGACACAACCTATGGTAAGCACTCCCTGCCTTGGGGCTGAACGGCTGGAACAAGGCTTGCCCAGCAATTGCTTTTCCTGATGAGCAGCACCAGCGTGCACAACCAAGAATGACAGTCTGTCTTTTCGTCACTCTCAGGGATGGTTAAGCAGAGGGGGGAAGGAAGGAGGAAACAACTCAGTCATGGGGATTGGGGTTTGGATGAAGGAGAGGACTACAAAGGAGTCTGCAACAAGGATTTTGGATGGACTGGAATAAAGTGGCAGGAGAGCAGAGGGCTGGGAGCATAAAATGAGGGAAGGAGGTAGCCCCTGAGCTGTGGAGTTGAGGCAGGTCAGGGACTGAGATATGGCTCCGAGGTTGGGGAGAAGGATCTGGGAGGATGTCGGATGATGCATCTACACGGTCTTCAGGGATCAGGCAGTTATTCCACTGCAAAATCACTTCTTCTGGCCAAAAGGCTGCTGTACTGCTGATGTGGAAAGTCAAATTGCTTCTATGTCATCGCTGATGGCTTTCTGCGACTATCCCAGCCTGTCGTTCCCACCCTGCCGCCTCCGTGGCTCGGACAAAGCACTGGCAGATGCCATTCTGTGCTGCCTGAAGAGATGAGTGTGGGGGCTGGATGAGAGCAGAGGGAATGAAGTAGGTAGGGTCTGAAGAGCAGTGGAGGACTCCTCCAGCAGTTGGATTTGGTTGTCTCCATGGCTGGCTGAAGTGGGGCTGTCTGAACAGGGGAGCTCATCCTAGGCTGTCACAGCTAGCAGAACGACACCCTCCCTTGTGCAGGCCTTCTAACAGACCCCCTCTTCCCAAAGGTTCACTTTGTGACACTTAGCAGGGTAGGCTCTTCTCTTTTCTCTTTTCTCTTTTCTCTTTTCTCTTTTCTCTTTTCTCTTTTCTCTTTTCTCTTTTCTCTTTTCTCTTTTCTCTTTTCTCTTTTCTCTTTTCTCTTTTCTCTTTTCTCTTTTCTCTTTTCTCTTTTCTCTTTTCTCTTTTCTCTTTTCTCTTTTCTCTTTTCTCTTTTC